TCATCATCACGTCAACGATAACTGATATTGGGTGTTTAGAGTTTGCGGTTCATTAACGAACAGGAATAGGGTCGTTGCAGTTTCCGATTCGGTCGGGAACATTGCCAGGCGTTTGGAAATACATTTCAAATTTCTCTTTGCAGCCTTCTCTCCAAATATTTCCTGCGTCGCTCTCACACTGCAAGTCAAATAACAAGCAAGGAAAGTAACTTCAAGGTTTCAATCACCACAAGGTTTGCACAACAATATTCATGCAGTCTTACCAGACAGTTGAGGTTTCAAAATCCTTGAAATTTAGTCAATGCTGGAATCATTGTAAAAGTGTAGGTATATTGATTCTACAGTACAGTATATTGAGGTGAGACAGGTTCAATTTGAAGTTCTTGCTCTGCTCCATTTGATGCTAAAGGGGTATATGTTCTTTGAAACTACTCACATCTCTTTCACGATTCACCCGACAGCAACTTCGTGGGTATTGACCATGAAGATTTGCATTGTACAGCCAGTCTTCTGGACTCTCCACGCCACAACACTCAAACTTGAAAAAAAAAATTAAAAAGGAGGAAAATGATGATGACAAATATCTATCAATTTTCGGTTACTTTGGAGGACATTAATCCGCATTCTCTTACCTTCCTTTGTGCATCATCCCAGGCAATCTTAATTGAGATTTTTGTCGTTTCGTCGTATTGGAGCAAAGCTTTCACCATAACCGTTTCAATGGACTCATCAGCATTGGGTTGGAACACCTCTCGAAACTTGTCTTCCTAAAGGGAGACAAAACGGAAACCGACTTTGAAATCAGGTATTTGTGATAATGGAAGTTTCTGGTTCAGTAACGGACAGAAAAGGAAGTGTTGAAGTTTTCGATGGTTGCAGGAACATTTTCTTGCGTTCGGAAATAGATATCCAATTTCGATCTGCATCCTTCCCTCCATGTACTTGCTGCGTCGATTTCACACTGAAAAAATATTAACCAAACGATAAACCATACTGAAGACCATCATAAATATTCAAAAAGGCTACAAAGAAATCGCTTGATCCTATTTCGTTGGGACAATAACCGTCTTTTTCGTAGACGATCTAGTCTATACGCTCAAAAAAAAGTTTTTTTTGTCGAAGTTGAAGGGAATAGGTGGCATCGGCAATATCATGTGGGCATCGACAAAGGTTCCGAGCAGGTTGCATATGACGAATTTAAAAAATAAAATTCATTACCACATGTGCCATATTAACGTAGCGCATAATATGATGGGATGGCAGGGTGATTAGAAGAAGAGCTCCAAGTCTCCATTTCTTCACTATTCCAACTTCTTTGACTTGCCGCGTTACCAAGCATGGGAAAACGCCCGAGAACATCTGAGAAAGATTTTCCCTTGGGTCTCGATGGAGAGTGAGGATTTTGCCTACGCTGTTTGCACGGACCAGTCTTCTCCTTTTCCAGATGGGGTTCAAGGAACGATCGTATTTAACGATTCTCAAAAAATTCCTTTTCGCTCTGAAATGGACGGAGAAAAGCAGAAAACCACCGAAGAAAAAAATGCATGTCGACAGGTAACGGACTCAGTTACCATTCCTGTTTGGCGCAAGAACGTTGTGTCAACACTGAGAAAAGTTTGGAACGCTGAGACTTTGGTTGAAGTCGAGAATTCGACGAAGAAGCAACATGAATTATATGCTGGCTATTTGTAA